AGATACAAAGGCTTAGGCCTGCAGGCTCGGGCTGAGTCTATGGTAAACTCATTAAGTCAGTTTCTTTCAGCTCTTGACAGTTTTCAAGGAGCTATTTGGTTGAAACTTACTCTTTTGCTGGAATTTCAAATAAAATAACTTAGCTGGGGCATACAGTGAATATACTCCAATGATATCTGTAAAACTTAATGTGTTACCTGGTGGAGTGAATTTGCTTTGTTTGTGCCCGACTGTGTTTTCTGGATCTTTAATTCTGTGTTCTTTTGGACTTGCTCTAGATTATGGCTGGATTTACTGAACTTATTGATCAGTAAATCCAGCTGTTTAAGTTTGTATGGTGTAACTGTACAAAATCAGGCTATTTCTTTTCTGGACTGTTCGCAAGTTTTTAGGTGAAACTTTGCTGCTCAATAAAATTTGGCTTGGTATGAACAGCAGATGAAGTTGCCAATCAGAAGATGTCAATATACTCTCATTGTTCTAAACTGCAGCTGAACTTTCAATCTCTGAAAGATGTTGATGGTTGTATGTCCTTGACTATATTATCTGTTGTTTTAGCAAGTAGAATATTTTCAAAAGAAAATAATTTATTGAAGTAGTTATTTCTTATGTCCTGATTAATTAGTGTATGCTGTTGTGATAATATGTGCTTCACAAATAGGAGATAAGAACTGATTTTATAAAATAATAGAATGACAGTCTTCTACCTAATTAAGAATTTATGCAGAATCATTGCTTCTGTTTTCTGAAAACTGTATTTTTAAAGTTCTCTGAGACAGCAAATAAAATTACTAGCAAGACTATATTATTTAAAATTAAAAGTATTAATTTGGCGGAAAACCTGGAATTAGAATTTATATTACCCTCTATTTAAAACAAAAAGCTTCTGTTTTTTTATAAGTAACTACAAGGAAACAGCAAGCAGCCCCACAAACAGGGAAAATCTCTTCCTAACTACTGTTAAAATATTTAACCTCTTTTCGTAAGCTTAAGAGTAAACAAACTGTTCTGTCATAACATTTGAGGGCTTCAGCAGACTTAAAGAAGATTAAAACTGGACGGTTGTAGCTGTCAGTGCCCCCAGCTGTCAGCTCCTCCACTGTATCAGATATCAGAATTTCAATTGTTAATAGTATGGAACACAAGGCTGATTGCATTTACCTGAGTATGCCAGTCTGCAAATTTTCGTGGCTGAGGTGTATACTCAGCCATCAGAGTGTTCAGATGTTCTAATTTTTGATATGGTGACGTCCATCAGAGGAGTGGGGCAGACAGATGGGAGAGGAACAGCTTCAGTCTTCTCATCTTAATCTACTGCTGTAAGCCTGCCAAAGCCTGAGATGCCGACTGTACAATGTGTGTGTGTAGAAATATGACTGTAACTGTAATTAAACAATTAACATCATTAGAAGTTTTAGGTTTTCATCAGAAAGGCTGTGTTTTAATTTAAAAATGTTTACAATATTCAGTGTTTTCATGTATTGTAAAATAACTTTTTGATATTATGTAGTTCATGGGAGTATTATCCACTGTGGCTTGACATCCTATAAAGTAGAAGCTGTAAGTAAAGCCTTCAAATATTTGAATGGTAGGGCCACCTGTCTTATTTTCTTGTGGATGTAATGGGGGTTTATATATATATAATTTTTTTTTCACAGTTCCAGAAAGCCAATATGTTTTATTTAAAAAATTGTTGGTTTAGTGCTTTGATTTCTACAAGGTTTTATCCTTTTGTATAGTAAAATTAAGTGTTTTATTAGTATAATGCACATGAAGAAGACAAATACACATTTCTTTATAGTTTTAGAGACAAATTAAATATATTAGTGGTTAATTTAAGGTAGATTATTAACCTAAATACTGTTTCCACTATACACTAGGGGGTTTGGTGGTTTCTCCCCCCACCCCAGTTATTTAATAGTTTTAGCAATTTTGCAACATGTTTGAAAGTGCAGCTTTTGCAGTCACCCTAGATTTGACATATTGTAATTTGTTGCTTATCTATTCTTTATGCTGATTGATTTGAATCTTTTTTTTTTTTAAGTTTTAGGTTTATTTTTATTGGCCCCTTTTTCTTGTGTTTGTTAATTGTTACCACTATTGGCAAATTCAGATAAATCTTACTGTTTTTATAGGTCTGCTAATACATACAGCTTTAAAGTATAATGTAAACTTTCATATACTAAGTAATTTGTCTAAACTTATTGGCAGTGTTTCTAATCTTGCTAGAATTGCTAAGTGGAGAGCCTTTTTAAAGTCGTTCACGTATTCATCTACTGCAGATGTATGCTACCGACTATGTATAAATCATGGGGGTTTTTTCACTTACATGGTCACATGCAAATATGCCATGAGAGATTTTAACTTACTCAGAGTAGTATCAGCACACTGTATTCTGCAAACTAGATTTTTAAAAATAAAGTTAGTTATGAATCATTTGTATTTTCTGAAAACATTAATTGAGACACTTTAAACGCTTGCTCTTTAGAAGATACAGAATTATGTTGCTTTTTTCACATGCTGTTTGAAGTCTCTTTTGTTAGTAATTTTCAGTTACAAAATCATGTCTTGTTAACACTTTTTCCCCAGAAAATCATGCAGATTTCATTTAGAAGTCTGAGAAACTTTATTTCATAATTTTTATTTTGCTAAAACTTGAAATGATTTAAATTTTTATTATTTCATTACATACCCGTAGTAGTAACTTGAGGTCAACATCATGTAACATAACAGTAATATAAAAATGGAAACCATAGAAGCTTCAAAATGCTTACTTTGTTTGAAAACAACTTTTGAACTTTTAAAAATATTTCCTTTTTGTTGCCTTGAGCAAACAAAGAACAATTTTGGGACATTGATGAATGTAGCTGGACCCACTTGACAGTTTAAAGAATAGAGTGGAGAGCCTAGTTTCTTTCCCACCTCCAGCAATCATTCATTAGATTAGTGTGGTCTGGTTCCTTTACAGTGTATATTCTAAGTTACAACTCTGTTCAGTGCTCTCTCTTTTTCCTCCATTGCTTTCTCGGCCACCATCAGCGCGGCTCAGAAGCTGATTTCAGTGCCCTGTTCAAAAACCCACTAAATCAGTGGAGATCTCTTCATTGACTCTGGGTGATTAGAATCAGTTTCTGCTGTTTTTACTTTGTCATTTTTGTCTCAGCTTATACATTGAAACAGTGTAATTAATGTGAGGTGTTACGAGTATTCAGAAAAGAAGGTAAAAAATTATGGAGAAATACATAGAATGGAGGCCCAAGATAATGAATTGTATTGGTCCTTGCTGTTTCCTTCCGTTGTTCTTGCTCCTTCATTTTTCCACTTCCCTTAGCCTTCTCTGGCTCATCTTTGCTTTTCCCTTGTTCTGTTTCTCTTCCTGCTCCAGGAAGTCTTAAATGGAGATCAAATTCATAGTGTCTATTTACTCCCCTTTCCTAAGTGAATTTAACCCCTGAATTAATTTTGGTGAATTTAACTAGTTCACCAAATCTTTCAACATCTAAGGAATACTTTGACAGTGAGACTGCTTTTTTTCTTCATTAAAATAATAACTTGATATCTAGCATTGTATTTAGAGAAACATATGCTGATTTCTTCAGATAAGTAAGCCTACTGCCGAGGAGGAGCTGGAGTTGATTTTTAGGGAGAGGAAGAGGTTTTTGAGGTGAGCTGTCCTGCTAGAAGGAAGAATTGGGTGGAAACTAGCATACTATGAATATTGAGCCAAACTTTTTAATTCAGTGTCAGGAAAAAATGATAATTCTGCTGTTGATTAGAATATCTGAGGGAGATGGTTCATGCTGAGATACACAGGAGAGTGAAACTGGTTGCAGAGGTTTGTTTTGCCATGAGGTACCCTGTTGTTTCGGTTTCCCCTTGATTCACTATCGTTCAGTCATCTTGGTTTTGTCAGGCTTCAGTGATTACTCAACTGTCCTGCTCAGTTCAAAAGTTTATTCCCTCCAGGTTTTGCAACAGTCTGACAGAGTCTTGTGTTCCGTTCTTTTATAGACACAGCTCTTACTGTCACTGCATTGCCTCTGCCACTAGACAGTTGGCTAATAATATGCAACACATATTAAAGTAAAACTACCCACAAAACCAGCTCTTACAGAAAGAAAGAATGGTAGGGTTTAATTGACTGTTTTCTAGAACTGAAACAGTTTTGGCACATTTAGGCTGGAGTTAGCATTCCTATTGCTTCTGAAAAAGGTACTATCAGCCTTGGAAATACTAGCGGTGTTTTTCCATTTCTGTTGCTCAGCAAAGTATATTAAAATAACAACTGGAGTTTTCTTGAACAAGCCCACAATTGGAGGATTGTTAAATTAATCTGTAGGGAAGTTTATTCTTATGGATGACAATGAGATAATAAATGAAAAAGTTTGTTTTCAGATGTCTTTAGAAACAAATGTTGAAAACCAGGTACATAAAAGCGCAACTCAAAGGCATGAGGATATTGACCTTCCTTGCAGTGCTTTAGTTACCTAAAACTCATAACCTAAAGCTGTCTGGTTGTGTTTTGCCCTCCTGGGCTTAGGTTTAAATGTTAATGTGGCTGGTACTAACTGCTGGCTATAAAATGATCATTGATTTGTGAAGGGTACAGTCTTTCAATAAATATAGTGGAGATACCCAACATAAAAGCTGCTTTGACTTCAAAAAATTGTACTAGAATTGCTTATATTTGAAGTCATTTGATTCCAAAGCAACTAGCACCAACTCTATGTAGGTAGTCTTAACTGTTGTTATTTCTTAACAGTCATACAGTCTTACAGTCATAAAATAACATTACATTGATCCAGAATCAGTCAGTCATTTGTCTTTGTATCACAATGCATGCTGTTTGGGCTTTGTATAGCTTGTATATTGATTTCTCTGAATATTACTGTTAGTCTTCATAGTCGCACTGAATGGTGGAATAAAGTAATTAATGAAATAATCTAAAGTATTTAAAACAATGACATTTTTGTAATTTTTCTTCTATTCAGCTGTAATCCTCTGATAATCATGGAGCCATATTTTCCTGGTTTTAAGCCCGTGCAGCAGGACTGTGAAGTCACTCTTGAACTCGCAAGTGAGGAGACTCAAAAAACTAGAAATGCACAAAATTCTAGGACGGGGTCTTATGGTGTCAGTATTAGAGTCCAAGGAATTGATGGACATCCTTACATAGTACTAAACAATACAGAAGGATGTTTGTCAGAAAATCCCCCTCCTTCTGGAAAAGAACAGCAGGTCATTTCTCAGACTGTAAGCAAGCCAGCCACAGACTCCAATACTGCTTTTAAGTTGGAGGACAAAACCAGTGAACGCACAAAGTTTCCTGGAACACAGCACATGCAACCCTGCATGCCTAAAAGCCTAAAGATAACCAATCTGGATGAAAAGGAAAACGAAATATCAGATTTTAAAGATGGAACAACTAAATCCTCCAATTTGTTGAACTTTCAAAGACATCCTGAACTTTTACAGCCTTATGATCCTGAAAAAAATAACTTGAACTTGGATAATTGCCAATCTTCTGTGTGCAGTAAATCTAAATCTTTTGCAGATGAAGATAAAACTGAAACAAAGCCTTGGATTTCCTCATCTAAAGTAGCATCCCTACAGAAAACAAACACATATCTTGCAGAGCCAACCAAAGCAAATTCAAAAAAGATACATTTGAACAGATCAGTAGAAGACCAAAATAAGCAGCTGTTGGATTGTCCCAGTAGCATGATCAGCCCCAATGAAGTGTGTGTTTCAGAATCATTTTCATCTGCAGGAGGATCCCCGTGTGTTAGTCCCACTGCTTATCCGGAGACAAGAAAACCTAGACCAGATGTTCTTCCCTTCCGCAGACAAGATTCAGCTGGGCCAGTATTGGATGACTCACGAAGATCATCGTCCTCATCAGCTACTCCCACTTCTGCAAATTCCTTATACAGATTTTTACTTGATGACCAAGAGTATGCCATCTATGCAGACAATGTTAATCGGCATGAAAACAGAAGGTATATCCCATTTTTGCCTGGAACTGGCCGTGATATTGACACTGGTTCACTTCCAGGAGTAGATCAGCTAATTGAAAAGTTTGATAAGAAAGTTGATCCTCACAGAAGAGGTAGGTCAGGAAAAAGGAATAGAATTCATCCAGATGATCGTAAAAGATCAAGAAGCGTTGATAGTGCCTTGTCATTAGGGCTTGATGTAAATTCAGATTATTTAGGTGAATTCAGTAAAAGCTTGGGTAAGTCAGCTGAGCACTTGCTGAGACCATCTAAAGTTTGTCTTCACAAGCAGTTATCCAGAGATCAAAAGTCACCTTCCAAAGTGATGAAGATTTCCGCTCGAAGTATTGGAAAATTGCAAATGCCTGATAAAGACACTCAGAACAGCAATTTCAATTCTTTGCAATACCATAAACAAAATGGAGCTGATACTGAGAGCTTGATGTTTAGGTCGTCTACACTCCCAGGACAGAATAAGAGAGAGGAAGTTAGAACAGTAACTTCTACTTTGTTGTTGCCAAACCGAATCACAATTCCGCCTGATTCAGGAGCCAAGAAGATTTCTGTAAAAACATTTTCATCCATCCCTAATATACAGGTAATTTTGAATTTACTCTTTAAGTTGTGGTTTACACTCTAGCATACTAAAACTGTCATATTGTTAAATGCGTATTCTTCTGCTCTTCATTAGAACAAATTCCCATCACAATACTTTCAAATGGGATAGCAGAGTTGTTCTGGAGAAATGTAAATACAAAAATTATTCCTGTAGTTGCAGGTGTAGAAAACATGGTTTGTAAAACAGCTTATTCTTGTATGGGTGAAGGAAGATGGTGGGGCCAAAGAAGATTATTGTAAGTGATGTTGTGATGATTCTTTAGCATAACTTGCACAAAAATAGAATCCTGAAATACATGTAACTCCATGCAAAATTATGTTTTCTTTCTTTTGGTGTGGAGTATGCTTTCTTCTTGCACTAAGCCAAAACTCCAGTGGATCTTTGTGAACTTTAGGTCCACAGTATGTAAATTTTTTCGTAATGGAATAGAATGGAGAACTTCAGTTGTACAGGTTGTATTTACAACCCTCATAGGATTGTATTTTTTGACGTTTTATCTTGTCCTTTTAGGCAACTCCTGATCTCTTGAAAGGGCAGCAAGATCTTGCGCAGCAAACGAATGAAGAGACTGCTAAACAGATACTTTACAATTACCTTAAGGAAGGGTTAGTAAACATAGTTAACTTTTGGAGAGGAGATTGTATTTTCTCAGTGTTTATTTTCTATTACATTTAAAACATGAAACTGTAAAATCACAGCTATAACTAAATGAAATGTCTGTTTCATAATTCTGTATCTCAGCTGTGTCCTTTAAGGCATTGTAGGATCTCAAAATACCCAGGCAATCAGGACTTATGTAAGGTATCGTACAGGATTTGATTAAATGTGCTTGACGTTTGTGAATCAGAATATGTTTTGTCTTTTAAACACTTCTGGAGTTAAACTTCATGTGTTATGGAGGTTCATGAAGAATTCAAATCATACCTCATGGGAGTTTAAGCTTGTGGATTTTTTAAACAACAAAGTGTTCTCTCTTAGGGTTTGACAGAAGCTCTCTTGTTGCTGTGCATTTAATCCTTTGTAATCTACCTGTAACTCTCTTACTTGGTATTTTCTAATGATAACTTATTGAAAGATGAAGGAAGGAGAAATGAATTAAAATATACATGATGCACTTAAAATTTGTTTGCATTCCTGATGTAGCAGGTTCTGGGAGCTGTTGAAGTATTATTTTCTGGTGCAGTAGTCAGGGCTTGAAAAATCTAATACTAATTACTTCTAATTTCAGTATGTTTGAATAATATACATGCTGAATACCTGTCTTGCCACAGCGATAGTCTTGTAGAAGAGAGTTGCAATTAAAGAGTTCAGTGATATTTTTTTTTTTTTTTAAGAAAACATTTGGAATATAAATTTTTTAACAGCCTCTCTTTAAAGGGTTTAATGAAATCATAGTTAAGATAATTTCTGACTGGTTCATATTAAATTTTTTTTATTTTATGGTGGTGATTTTCAGTAGTTTGGACACTGAATTTGTTTTGATGTTAACAAAATAGTACCTTTGATCATATAATTGCTTACTTGTACTGTATGTTTTAGAAGTGCTGATAATGACGATGCAACAAAGAGGAAAGTCAACTTAGTTTTTGAGAAAATTCAGACTTTAAAGTCAAGAGCTGCTGGAAAGACACAGGTAAACAATTTTTAAAGTTGCTTTGGCTTGTTTCATAGTGATTCAAACAGGGCTTTAAAAAATTGAATCCCCTCACTGCCTTCAATTAGATTATTCTTGTAGTCCCTCAGTAGTATAGCTTGATTTTAATCATGCACTGAGGTGACTTATGGGAAATCTTTTTGTTAACAATTAAAAAAGAATGTAAAGGAGTCTACCATGAGAACCTCTACATTTTGCTTCTACGTTTAAGGAGAGAGATGCAAACTTAACGTGAACATCAAAAGGGTTTTGGGTCGAAGAAAAAGCTAACATACATAGCTTTAAAAAATAATGGCAAAGCATCTTCTCATTGTAGTGACGTAAATAGATATATATAAGTGGAGAGAGTATTTTAATTTTTAATATAGAAAAGCAGTGATCTAGGATATTGTTTAAAAGTCCTGCTATGTGGTGCACTGTTTTTTCAGTTCTAAAGCAAAGTGAAGAAATGCCAAGTTGTTGCAGTGATGGCATAAGAAGGATTAAATGCTTACTTTTGGTGATTATTTTATTCTGGGCTATAATTAGTCAAAATGAAAATATAAAACAGATCTTAAGAAATTACCAAAAAACAGTGTTTGAAAATCTGTCTTGACATATGAGCATGAATCCCTTTGTTGTCCATTTTGTGTAATTGGTGATATCTCAGTCAAATTTGGCCCCAAGTATTCGTGATTTAATTCCTATGTTGCCTAATTTGAATTTTTCTTTAGGTTTGTATATTTTCTGTATTATTGGCAACATGCCTTTAGCAATTACCAAGAAGTTTTATGAAAATAAAACCATGGTTCCTTTGAAAATACTAGCTTGGCTTGACCCATATGAAAAGTCCCTGGTGAGCTCAGGCAATTGATGCTACGCTTTATTAACCTTCCTTGTAGCTTTACTTTAGATTTTAAAAAACAGTTGTCAAAGAAATCTTGGCTTTGTGGAAATAAGCATCTCTATTTAATTGTAGGTTTCGGATTCTTCAGCTGAAGTAAAAGCATTGGTGGAACAAAAAGCAGAACTTGAAAGGAAAGTGGAAGAATTAGAGAAAAAACTGGATCTAGAAATTAGGGTATGGCACTTTGTTGTTATAAAGCATTTGACTATTTCAAATATACTGTTCTAAGTAAGTGACAACTGATCAATGAGCTGAATCTTTTTTGCTTCATCTTCTTTTTAATCCAGATATACCTGTGCTTTTACAGAAGACTTTTTATTTTAAGTGTAGTTGCTCATAGCATAGTTACCCTTTTAAAGAAATTTCTTTCTTTGTATTTGAGAAGGAGTTTGGAGCAGTGAATAAAAATGTTAGGCACATGCACATAAAATTTCTTAGGTATCTGCAGAGGTAAATGTTAATCTGTTGGCTGCAGTGAGGCAGACATGGAGTGAGAGACAAACTGTATTACTCATTAGCTGCTGTTTATTAATTACAGCGTTATTTTTGCAGTGCTGAATTCAAAGTGATTAAGTACAGCCATGCTCTGAAGACATGAGAAGGACAGCTTGGCTTCTTTCGGTTTGCATTTTGAGTCTGTGATGAGAATCAATATACTTGAAACAGATTAGATAGTACTGAGGAGACTTCACTTCTCACATTTCTAATAAAAATCGAAAAGCAGTGCTTTTTGTGTTTTAATAAACACTCCAAGCTTTTAATATTCATAAATTAATAGCACTTCTACAAGTGAAAAATATCAAAGTCTTGAAATGGCTTCTTTCATATAATAAAAAAGAGCCTTTAATTTATTTATGCTTAGTCTATTATCTTGCTTAACTTTGGTGTACAAAATTCAGAATCGGCAAAATTCCAAAGAAGAGAGAGATGCTACACGAGCAAGCCTGAAAGATCTTCAGCTGCAACTTGATGAAAGTATATGTGAAAAAGAAGCCTTAAGAAAGCAGCTGGAAGAAAGCGAGAAGGAACTCAGACAAAACCTAGAGGAGTGAGTTAATTCTAGAAAAGTTATTCATTGGAATTTGTACCTTTTCTTAAACCTTTTAGGTTAAAAGTGCCTGTGTCTTCAGAGTATGTTAATGGAATCAGACAGAGTGACGTTTGTTATTGTAGGAAATGTTTCTACTGTTTAAAAACTGCGTGTTTTTAGAATATCTGGAAGGAAAAGAAAGATTCCTGAATTCACAGTCTTCCTCTTAGTGTGAATTGCTTTTAATATTTCACAGTCATAATATATAGTTCAAGTCTTTAAAATATGGAAACACTTGAGTGCCTTAGTCAAGAACATAGTATCAGTTTTAAAATAAAATACAACTTTCCACTTAAATATCTACTTAAAAGAGTTCTTATTTTTCCTCCTCTGACATTTCATTTTTCTGCCTCGTTATATCCCATTCCTTGTGAGGAACATGGGATAGATACTTGTATCTTTTTAGTACTTGAAAGAACAAATTAGAATTTCTACAAATTAAAAAATCCTGTCTGATTTTTCCTGATGAGGCTTTTTCAAGTGAAGATGGAGCAGGAGCAACACCAGACTGAGATCAGAGATCTTCAAGACCAGCTCTCTGAGATGCATGATGAACTGGATAACGCAAAACATACTGATGAAGGGGAGAAAGATTTTCTGATTGAGGTTAGTTATAAAGTACCAGAAGAAGGATGAAAAAATCGAAGGAATTGCCTGAAAAGTGGGAACCAAGATACAGGTAGAAGAAATACATTCCTTAGCTTTTCCTATTCTATCAATCCAAAACAATATACCATTATTAGATGACCTAGGAAAGGATGTTGTAATAAGTACCTTAACACTAAAAGGAATACAAAGTGTAAGTACCATCATTTTACAGAATAGGAGAACAAATAACATAATGGTTGAGGGACAGCTGAGTTATCTACTATTGCCAGATAATCATCTCAGTCTGTTTTATCAATTAGATAGGATTTTGATTTGGACAGGGAAGATCAGTTTAAAGAAGGTGTACGTGCTAGCAAGGCCAGATGAGATTCAACTAAGAAAATTAAAAGAACTCGCCAAAGCAGTCTAAATTGTTGACTCCCTATTGCTGGGACCAGGGAGAGAAGAGAAGGGATAGAGTCTGAAGAGGAACAAAAGAGTTACGGGTTTTCTGTCACTTTGGGATGAAAGAGGAATTGGCTATAGCCCTGGTTATAGTAATATACTGATGATGAAATAGAGAACACTGCTTATTAAATTTGTTGATAAGGGTGTGTAAGAGTATCAGTGCTTAATGGTTCAAGAGGAAGATTAGAATTCAGAATTATCTTAATACTTTGTAGTACCAAAACAATTAACTTCTCTTGATACTAGTGCAAAGAACTAGCTTAAGAAATGGAAGCTGAATGTTAAAATACAAAATAGAGAGCGAAAGCATAGGCGGTAGATCTCAGGAATATTAAAGCTGTTTGTATGCAAGACATGCTGAGTAGAATAACTACCTTGTTTTGTATAGGTGAGATTTGATTACTCTCTTAAATTATGGTCCTAAATCTCAGGCACTGCAGTTGAAAGTTGTACATAAGTAGGGGAATATCTGGAATGATGGTGATAGTACTGAAAAACATTACCTGTGCAGAAGGACTTTAATCTGAATGGAGGAGTGGGGGAAGAGTCAAAAGCACATCTTATTTAACATTGCTATAAAGGAGATAGTGATGAATTTTTCTATGCTGTGTGGGGATACAGTAAGAAATAAGAGACTTAGCTGCAGAGATTTAAAGTAAGTGTTGGAAAACATTTTCTATCAATATGGATAATTAAACAGTGGAACATGGCTATCTGGGTTGGTAGTAGAATCCCTTTCATTGTAGGCTTTTAAGGACAAAATAGATGATGTGTATTAGGAATGGTTTAGATGTACTGATCCTGCTTCAGTGCAGGGGAAGTTTACATTCTTTTTGAAAGTGCAGCTTGAGAAATACCAAATTGGATAATTCTTGAAGCTGTACATTTTGTATTGTTGCTGTTATTTTATTCTGTGTTTGTATACATGAATGTGTGTATTTATTCTTCAGATTCACTGACTACCCACTTCCCTCCCAGCAATTTGTACAGGGGAACATGGTGGGAGGAGGAAGGGTGTAAAGGTATGGACTCGGTTGGGAAGCACTTGTTTTGTCTTCAGCACTTGCAGAAGCAACTTTATTCTTTCCAGCAGAAAAGACAATAGGGAATTATCATTGGGTTCACTTCTCTTGCAGTGTGGGAAACAAAGGTTTTTCTTTGTTCTTACCTACCTCTTTGCTACAGAAGGTAGGACTGAGGGAGTTGTTAAATAGCAACCTTAGTTTGACTCCTGCTTTATTTACAGACAGCGTAACATACACCATCAAAATCTTTTCATAGTTTTGCAGCATCAGATATGTTGACTCGTTATAGAAAACATCAGCTATATGTTAGACTTCTAATAACCTTAGGGTTTAGTAAATTTTTAGCTTACTATAAAAACTGCAAAAAATACGTCAGTCATACGAAACGAAGTTGGCCTTGGGGAGCTTATATTTAGATGCTTTTCTTCTCTGAAACACAAACAGAACATCCATTGGAGCTATTTGTCAAGTAATTGTGTTTAATTTTGTTCTTTAGGAGCTGATGCAAATGAAGCAGGATCTGCAAGAAGTATTAATAGCAAAAGATCAACAAGAAGAGATTTTGAGAAAGAGAGAGCGAGAGCTTACAGCTTTAAAAGGAGCACTAAAAGAAGAAGTATCTAGCCATGACATGGAGATGGATAAACTTAAAGAGCAACATGATAAAGAATTGCTCAATCTACAACAGAGCCTGGAGAAAGCAACAGAGGTGAAATAAGTGATTACAATTAATCTCTGCAGGGAAAAATCATACCTCTCACAGATGTCCCATACTAGATGCTTGCGGATACTAATATTTTCTTAGCAAAATAAATAGGTAAAGATTTGGGCTAGGAGATTCTTAGCTGCTGCTAAGTTTTATTTCATACACTTATATAATGTTTTGATTGTTTGTGGCAACTGAGGTTGTGGCCCTTTCTTCAAGCAGTTATTTACTGTGTTTGCTTCATTGCAAACTTTGAGAGAGAATAGATGGGAGTATAGTACAGAGTACCATTTACTTGTCTTGGGTTAAATGGGATCACTGAAACCTTGAAGATGCCCTGAAGAGTGCTAGTGTGCTTTGTCAATGATGCTGTTGAAATTACAGTTTTGGAGCTTGTAGCAGTTCTCTGCAGTTCTTTGCAGCTCACTGTTCCTACCTTCAGCTCCTTGCGTCACGTCCTGTTCCCTGGTTACATTGTCCCACCTTGTCCCTTGAACTACTTACTACTAGGGGGTTTTTTGTTTTATTCTGTGTCCTTTTCATTTTTTGAGCTTGTCTTTTTTACTGAATGGTCAAATGAGTGCCAGCACAAGGGAAACAGCAGGGAGTGGGTGTCTGGAAGCAGACAGGAGGAAAACAGAACTGAAGGAATTGCCTCTTCCAGCATCAGCAGGAAGTCTTTGTGAGGGAGAGAATAGGAGTAGTTTTCAGATGTGCATATCTGTTACTGTTTTCCAAAAGGCGTCCTTTGTGAAGTTATCTTTGCAGAGACAGCAGCTAGGAATGTATTGAAAGATTTTTTTGTAAGGGAACAGTTCTCATAAAATTTTGAGCATTTTTACAGAGTTACTTGTGTCTTTTCCATATGCCCTTCCCTCATTTTATTTCTGTCAAATGTTTGAGAAAATTAAAGGCAGACTGTGCTTGACCAATGTAAGTCAAAATTGTAGGCCCGGTTTTATGCTTAGAAACGTCCATGCTAATTTATATCTTTTACCCATACCTCATTGGTGTTAGGTGAGTTGCAGTTATCCTGCTAGTCATGGCCAAAAACATAATGTAGAACTGAATTAAAATTAACCTTGAAACTTGAAAGAAGTTTCCAAAGCTTTATATGCTTTATGAGCGAATTAGGAGCACATATGGGAGATGCTGGATAGATATTGTATGACTGAATTCTGATAAACAGTATTCTTTACAGGATTGTTTTTAAATGTGCAATTTTCTTCAGTGGTTCGAAAAGTTTATATACCCTGGTTTGTTTATGCAGCCTAGGACTTCTACTTGAGGTTGTTTGGCTTTGCTTAAATGTGTTGTTTCTCTTTGTTTACATCATCACGAAGATATTTGACTCATCTGAGCTGCTTGAACTGAATTCTTTTTTTTTTCTTTGGAGAAGTAGAACATTTAAATTATCATTTTTTTATTATACAGTAATTGTAGTGACAGCTTAACCTCGATGAACCATCTTTCAAAGTTACTGCATGGTAATTTACTGTATTTCAATTATGGAACTGTAATTACGACTGACAAATGAAAGAGTAGTCTGTTTGGCATAACAATAACACAGTCTGGGAAATGGCTCTATGACTGGGTTGCTGTAGCTTAGAGATAGTTATAAATAGCATTTATTTACTTGCATGACATAGTCTATTTAATAGTAAATTTAATAAGATGTTCAAAAGCTAAATCTAATTAATTAATGTTGCTCTAAGCACCAGTGCTGCACTTCCGATTTTACTTCAAGTGATCTTTGTTGGTTTTATTTTAAGTAAAACTTTTATCATGCATAATTGGAAGGTAGTTTTTTGTTTTAATCTCACTAGTGTTAGTACCCTTAATGATTTTTTTGAAGCCCAGCATTATCTCTATGCCTGCTGGTTGAGATTAGTTGTTGAATTTGATATATCATCTATCAGGAACGTATAACCAGTCTCTGCAGGGAGTTAGATGAGTGATCAGCTGTGATCTTACATATGATCTTAATTATTGGTCTTATAATTTATCTGGAATACCCAACAGTGTGTGTAAAAATCATGTTTTACACAATTGAAGCTGCTTGACCTGTTAAATTATTTTTTTTTAATATTATTGCAAGCTGGAAACATTTATATCAGATGGTGGGATACAAAAAATTTACATCAAAGATTAGTGGAAAGGGCTGTTCTGTTGTGTTTAATGAGGAAAACAGGTGTGTAAATGCTGTAACAGTGGTTTATCATACAGAAAATATGGATACTGATGTCTGATAGATCAGGGTATCTCAGAGTTTGTATGTACAAGGTTGTTAGTTCTTATGTTGCTTCTATATCATCCAAATTGGTACACTGAATAAAGGTGTTTTGTGATAATATGTATTGGGCCAAAAAGGAAGTTTTTGCAGGGAGAAAGGAAGTAATTTTTGTGCCAGTGTTAAATCAACAGAATTTTTCAGCTGCTGCAGATGTCAGATAGATTGGCAAGTAATGTACAGTGCATTTAGTCTGTGTGATTAGAATGCCACATAGATCTGTTTTGAAATCATGTTAGAAACATACTCAAGGTTATCTGATAGGAGAACAGAGCGGCATTATTTGTCATGTGCAATTCTGTTCTCATGCTCACTGATGTGGTGGTAGGTTGTGGGGTTTTTGTTCTTTTTTTTCTAAATAGAGATTGTTATATAAAGCCACAGATATTAAGATATTAATTTTCTTTGCTACAGTTTACCTTTTTAACTCATTTTTGTGTTATGTCTTTTGCTTGTGGTGGTCTCGAGATGGCTGTGATTGTTCTTAACTTCATTGCTTTTTTGTTAAGACTGAGACCAGACTATTTCCATTTAACAATAGTAAAAGTTTTACTCTTCCATAACATACCTCTGTGGGGTAATAATTACCTTTAATTTAATAATAAATTAAAAAATTAATGTCTTTCTAATTAAAAATTGATTTCTTCACCACCGCAAGTGCTAGAACAGAAATGAATATGAATCCCCTCCTGGTTTTAATGTAGTACAAAAATTTGTATTATTTAGTCTGACCCTACAACGCAACAGGCCAGAATTGTACTACTTAACCATGAGTGTTCTGTCACTGTAGATGAAGTGCCACTGTTTCAGTAAAATTTGGAAATAGCTTTTGGAATGTAGTACTGTAGGTAAAAGGTTGTAGCAAATTGCAACTAGTACTGTTCAAATTCCACTGAAACTGTATCAGCTCGGGAGTGCAGTTGCAAACTGCACAGCACTGTCTGTTTTGAGAAGCAGTCTGCACAAATGATGTTCAGAAAAAGCTGTAATCATCACATTATGAAGAGGGTTATCTAAGCCTGATCTTGACTGATTTATTCAGGGTTCATCATACTTCTGACCTTGTCCTCAAAATGATAAAACAGACGCTCAGACTTTAGAAGCTGATTCATTTATCAACACATTTAAGAATGCAATGAAGCTTGTGGTCATGTGAGCTTTAACTGTAACGTATGTGTTTAAGCCATGTGATATGATTGAAGAGAAGAAGGAATTTTACTAGAGCAAGTGGTAGGAACAGTAAAAGACAGTGGTTACCTTCTGCACATGTTATGAACTAAAAGTGTACTGCTTTAAAATACGAAAATAATATAAAATTTTGAGAACTGTAGATGAGAACAAGCTTTGGTTTTGTTTTTGTTTTTTCCCCATCTGTATGATGTGATTGTGAATTTAGGTGAATCTAGCACAGAGCTGTAAAGAACTTTGAAATGAAAGTTAATATTGTATCTTTTTCTACCTAACCTGATAATATGATACTACTTCTACAAAGCTAATAGAAATCTGCCACATAGTTTTTGTTAAGCCTCTGCTCTAACTTAAGCATTGTAAATGATTCAGTGGTAGAAACCGGTTGGTAATGGATCTAAACTGTATACAGAGTCAAAGAATAGTGGAGTGACTGGTCCAAGTCAATGTTTCCTCTTTCATGACCTGCCCCTCCACCCCCTTTCATTTTCTGCCTTCCTTTACCAGCCCTCTAAAAGCCTGGTATGTTTTTGATTGATTTCCAGTGTGGTCCTACAAACACAGATGGAGTGGGGGAAAGAGAGGGAGGGTGCACAGGCAGAAGTGTGATGGTGGAAGGAAGGCTGCAGGCACTCCTTAAATAGGCATCGTTATTGGAAATGCATATTTTAGAACTGTATGTGGAAAATCTGGTAGACAGATTTGATTTGTTTTGCTGTAAGTGTCTGTTCTGTGGATGGAAAGGAAGCTGTTTGGTAATAGCATCATGCATGTTTTTAGGCACCCATTAAATGAAATACCAAACAAGTTACGGAATATTAGCTGTGTTGTCAACAAGAATAATAAACATGCCTCTAAAGCGCACTGAAGATGTAACTTGGTGACTTTGTCTTTGGTGCTAAAGCAAGCTTTTTAGGTTCCAGCTCCTCTGGTCCTTCATTTCCATGCAATTTACACCTCCGTTTATTTAGTGGGGACATGTGTTTGTTTGGATGCAGACAGTACCATGAAACTACAACTGAGTGTTTTTTATACTGTATGTAGAGTCAAGAAAGTCTCTGAGCAAAACTGTCCTGCAAAGTTCTATTTGAGTTGGATTGGACCACATCTAAACAAGACAAAAAAAAAAAAAAATCTGTTTTACCTGTAACAGTCATTGGTGCTGGTTTTGGCTGGGATAGAGTTAATTTTCTTCACAGTAGCTAGTATGGGGCTGTGTTTTGGATTTGTGCTGTGTGAAACAGTGTTGATAATACAGAGATGTTTTCATTACTGCTGAGCAGTGCTTACACAGTGTCAAGGCCTTTTCTGCCTCTCGCACCACCCCACCAGCAAGTAGGCTGGAGGTGCACAAGAAGTTGGGAGGGGACACAGCCAGGACAGTTGACCCCAACTGGCCAAAGGGATATTCCACATCATATGATGTCATGCTCAGTATATAAAGCTGGGGGAAGAAGAAGAGGAAGGGGGGGACGTTCGGAGTGATGGCATTTGTCTTCCTAAGTAACTGTTATGTGTGATGGAA